TTTATTTCCAGTCATGCAGGATTTTTTTTTAGAGTTAGTATTTTGTTACTGATTCTAATTAACATAATTTAGAGAACATAACCTGAATAATATTCTTTGGAATTTATTGAGACTCCTTTCCTTTGTGCTGAGGTACCTACTAGATTTTTGTGACTTTTTTTTTTTTTTAAGTAATCTGTGTACCCAACATGGGGCTTAAAACTCACAGCCCCAAGATCAAGAGTCACATGTTCTGCCAACTGAGCCAGCCAGGTGCCTCTTTGTACTATCTTGCATATACTTGAAAATAATGCATTCTCTTTGGAATTGTTCCCTGTAACTTTTGTTATTTTTAGCTGCTTGAACTAGGAGTTACTTTTTATGTGTCAAAATTGCCAACTACAGTTACTGATTGTTGGATTCTCCCCATAGTCCTGTCAATTGTTGCTGTGTTTTGAGACTGTGTGTGAGATACATATATTTCATAATTAGTATATACAATTGGTCTCATTATTTGCAGGTTCTGTATTTGCAAATATGTCTCCCTGATAAAATTTATTTTAGTCCCCAATTCAATACACCTAGTGATTCTGAGGTCCTAGGCCCTCTCACCAGGAACTGGGAAATATATATAAGCATACCAACCTGTACATTTTTATTTGTTTCTGTATGTCTCTTATATACCCTAAAACGAATGAATTTTGATTACAGTCCAACATCACAAGATTTAGTCTAGCATTCTTCCTACTCCCATTATCTACAGTATATTCACTTGTCTGTTCAATCTTAGTATATCCATAAAATAGGTATATATCAGCCAGTTCATACTGTGAAAACAGATTTCCTAACTAGAGATACAGCGTTTGTGTACATTTCTTTGTGTCTTTAGTCTTGTAGTAGGTAGTCAAAATACTATTTTCCAAAGTTACTTGGGTTCTTTTTCCCCATACCCTTCTTTGTTGCTTTGATATCTATTTATAATACAGTTAGGGTTATTACTGTTTGTATTCTGTTTGGGGTTTCTTTCACATACTGGTTGATTTAATTATTTATTTTGGGAGGCACATGTAAAACATTACTGTTGTTCTAGGAGTCAAAGCTATCCAAAAGGTTATCCTTTGAGAGGCACTGCTCTCTCCTCAACCCTCTTAAACTGTTCCCAGTGCCCCCTTCTTTCCACCCCTTTCCTCTGTGCCCACTGTAAGTAACTTTAGTTTCTGACTTATCCTTCCTGTAATTCTTCTGCACAAATGAGTAAGTACATATGTCTTTTTGTATTCCTTCTTTATTACAGAAACAGTAGCATACTCTTTTGCACTTTACTTTTTTCACTTCATACTGTATTTTAGAAATTGCTCCAAATCAGTTTATAGAGCTCTTTCTCTCTGTTTTGTGTGAGTGTGTCATAATTTGCTAAGCCTTCTGTCCAATGTATGGTCATTTAGGTTGTTTCTGAAATGTTGCTATTACAAGCAATACCACAGGGCACATGGGTGGCTCAGTGGTTGAGGATCTGCCTTTGGCTCAGGTCAAGTGATCCCCAGGTCCTGGGATAGAGTCCCACATCAGGCTCCCCCCAGAGAGCATGCTTCTCCCTCTGCCTATGTCTCTGCCTCTCTCTGTGTCTCTCGTGAATAAATAAATAAAATCTTATAAAAAATAAACAACACCACAACTTTGTGAGTATTATTGTTGGAGGTATATCTTCAGGGTAGGTCAAAAGTTAAATGAATATGTAGTTTTAGCAGTTTTTGCCAGTTTTTTTTACTGTACAAATTATTTTTATTTTACTTTATTTGTATATAGTTAAATTTATCCATCCTTTAAACAAATTTTTTTTAAGATTTTTATTTATTTATTCATGAGAGACAGAGAGAGAAAGAGGCAGAGACACAGGCAGAGGGAGAAGCAGGCTCCATTCCATGCAGGGAGCCCGATGTGGGACTCGATCCCGGGACTCCAGGATCACACCCTGGGCCAAAGGCAGGCACCAAACCGCTGAGCCACCCAGGGATCCCTATCCATCCTTTAAAAATTTTTTTTAGGGCAGCCCTGATGGCTCAGTGGTTTAGCGCCGCCTTCAGCCCAGGGCCTGATCCTGGAGACCCAGGATCGAGTCCCATGTCGGGCTCCCTGCATGGAGCCTGCTTCTCCCTCTGCCTGTGTCTCTGCGCCTCTCTCTCTCTGTCTCTCATAAATAAATAAAACTTTAAAAAAAATTAAAAATAAATAAATAAATTTTTAAAGGATTTATTCAGGAGAAAGAAAAAGCACAAATGGGGAGTGAAGTGGGGGGCAGGAGAAAGAGGGACAAGCAGAGTCCCCATTGAGCAGTGAGCCTGACATGGGGCTGGATTCAGGACTCTGAGATGATGACTTGAACTGAAGGCAAATGCTTAACCAGCTGAGCCATCCAAGAGCCCCTCCATCTTTTCTTTTCTTTTTTTTGCCCCTAGTTTTTTTTTTTTAATTTTTTTTTAATTTTTATTTATTTATGATAGTCACACAGAGAGAGAGAGAGAGAGGCAGGGACACAGGCAGAGGGAGAAGCAGGCTCCATGCACCGGAAGCCCGACGTGGGATTCGATCCCGGGTCTCCAGGATTGCGCCCTGGGCCAAAGGCAGGCACTAAACTGCTGCACCACCCAGGGTTCCCTGCCCCTGGTTTTTTTTATCATTAGTTAAGATCAGGTTTTTCCCCAGGGTGCCTGAGTGGCTCAGTGGTTGAGCGTCTGCCTTTGGATCAGGCGTGATCCTGGAGTCCCAGGATTGAGTCCCACATTGGGCCCCCTGCATGGAGCCTGCTTTTCTCCCTCTGCCTATGTCTCTACCTCTCTCTGTATCTCTCATGAATAAATAAATAAAATCTTTAAAAAAAAAAATCAAGTGTCCCCCTACGTTAAGGGTACAGAACTCACCACTTTTTTTTATAGAACTTGCATGATTTCATTTTGATACAGTTAGCTCCCTTATCCATTTGTCATTTATTATGTATTACACGAGATATAGATCTAATTTTTTTTAATTTTTTTTTTGAAATGGCATCAGTTGACCCAGAGATATTTATTAAGAAATCCATCATTAGGGGCACCTGACGGCTTTGTCAGTAAGCATCTGACCAGCTCAGGTCATTATCTCAGAGTCCTGGGATCAAGTCCCATGTGCAGCCCCACAAGGAGACCCACGTTGAGCTCCCCACTTAATGGGGAGTCTGCTTGTCCCTCTGCCCCTCTCCATGCTTGTGTGCAAGGATGTGCTATCTCTCTCTCAAATAAATAAATAAAAAATAAATCCATCATTACCCTCAGTGAACTAAGATGCTACCTTTATTATATACCAAAAAATTTGTGTATACTTGGATTAATTTCTGAGCTAGTTTATTCCACTGGTATATTTATCTATATATGTGCCAGTACCACTGTTTTAATTATAGAAGCTTTATAGTATCTCTTAATGTCCAGTAAGACTAGTTCCCCTCCATTCTCCATCTGCCCATAGTTCGCATTTTTCAGTGTTTTTTTCCTGGCTGTTTCCTGGCTATTCTTGCATGTTTATTTTTCCATAGAAAATAACTTGTTGGTATTTTTATTGGAATTACAATGATTTTATAAATTAGGAAGAACTAAGGCAGAATCATCCTATCCAAGAACAAGGGATGTTTTTCCATTTGTTCTTGCCTACTTTTGTGTTTTTCAGGAGGGTCTTAAATTTTTCTTGGTATTAATTTTGCACAGTTCTTGCTAAATTTATTCCTGTATGTTTAATCTTCTTTGCTGCTATTATAAATGGCAGGTGTCCTATTTATTGCTTGTGTATATGAAGGCTATTTATTTTTGTATATTAGTTTTATATCTTGCCATGTTACTGAATTCTTTTATTATTTGAGTTGGGTTCTTTTTTTTTTTAAGATTTTATTTATTTATTCATGAGAGACACACACACAGAGAGAGAGAGAGAGAGAGAGAGGCAGAGACACAGGCAGAGGGAGAAGCAGGCTCCATGCAGGGAGCCTGATATGGGACTCAATCCCGGGTCTCCAGGATCAGGCCTTGGGCTGAAGGCAGTGCTAATAAACCCCTGAGCCACCCTGGCTGTCCCATTTTTTTTTTTTTAAGATTTTATTTATTTATTTGAATGAGAGAGAGCCAGAGAGCATGAATGGCGGAGAGGCAGAGGGAGAAGCCGACTCCCTATTGAGCAGGGAGCCAAACATGGGATTCGGTCCTGGGACTCCAGGATCATGACCTAAACCAAAGGCAGATGCTTAACCAACTAAGCCACCCAGGTGTTACACTGAGTTAGTTTTATCATTGATTTTTCTGGGGTTTTTCAGATATACTATTATCATATATTCTTCAAATAGAGTTATTTTATTTTTTCTTTATCCATTCCTTTTTTTTTATATAAAGATTTTATTTATTCATAAGAGACACAGAGAGAGAGGCAGAGACATAGGTAGAGGGAGAAGCAGGATCTCTGCAGGGAGCCTGATGTGGAACTCGATCCCAGGACCCCCGGATCATGACCTGAGCCAAAGACAGACACTCGACCACTGAGCCATCCAGGTGCCCCTCTTTACCCATTCTTAAACCTCTAATTGATTTCTTTTGTCTAAATTAATTACCTGTACCTCTAGTACAGTGTTGAATAATAGCAGAGATCGTGGATATCCTTGCCTCATTCCTTATTTTAATGGAAATGTCTCTGGTGTTTCTTCATTAAATAAAATACTGATTTTAGGACCAAGAGTGTAGGGGTAGGGTCAGTAGGTGGCTTTGTCACAGAGTTATAGATATTTGGATAGAACATTGAAATATAAATTAAGAAGAGGTATGTATGAAACTACTGTCTGTCAGATTTTAGAGCAACAGTATGTCACATTCAAAAAGTTAGAAAGTTTCATGTTTCAATTTGAGAATAGCAATGAGATATGCCATTATAGCAGGTCATTTGAATTTCTATAAATTATCTTTATGCATTATGGTCACAAATAAAAATATATACTTATTTTTGTCTTATAGTGTGTGCTGTTTTTGTGGAGTTTAAAGATTAATCATCCCAAAACAGTATTTCTGCTTCGAGGAAATCATGAATGTAGGCATCTTACAGAATATTTTACCTTCAAACAAGAATGTAAGTATAATCACTTTTCCAGAACTTTTTTTTTTGAAGTAAACTCTACCCCCAGTGTGAGGCTTGGACTCAAAACTCTGAAATCAAGAGTCATATGCTCTACCAACTGAACCAGGCACCACATAAATTTTTTATTTACCCTTTTGTCATTCCAAAAATGAATCAAACATAAACTAAATTAATGGAACTCAAATGCCTCCTATTTATTTCTGGTAAGAACCAAGACATTTGTTTTCAAAATAACTTTTGTGGTTTTCCCCTATGTATGTAAAGTAGTACATTTGGGGTATTTGGAAAACAGAATAGTCCAAAGAAGATAAAAGTTGTCCACAGTAAAACCACTTAAAGATAATAACTATTGGGCAGCCCTGGTGGCGCAGCGGTTTAGCACTGCCTGCAGCCCAGGGCATGATCCTGGAGATCCTGGAGACCCGGGATCGAGTCCCCCATCAGGCTCCCTGCATGGGGCCTGCTTGTGTGTCTCTCTCTCTCTCTCTCTCTCTCTCTCTCTCTCTCTCTCTCTCTCTCTGTCTCTCATGAATAAATAAAAAATAAAATCTTTAAAAAAAAAAACCTATTATCTCACTATTTGAGAGGTAGTCTTCTTTTCTGTATACATAAAACCTATCATGAAAGAGTTCAAATGCATGTATATTTGTACGTTTTCAAAATAAAATTGGGCTTTTATATGCACTGCTTAATAAATTGTGCCTTTCACTTTAATAAAATTTCTCTGTATCATTAAATATTTTTAAACAGGATTTTAAAATGTTATTTTAATATTTTTAAAGTATTCCATCTTATGAGGTGCCTTGGTGGCTCAATCATTTAAGCATCTGACTTCTGCTTGGGTTGCGATCCCAGGATCCTGGGATAGAGGCTTGCTGAGCAGGGAGCCTGCTCCTCCCTCTCCCTCTGCCACTCCCCCTGCTTGTGTGCCCTCTCTCAAATAAATAAATAAGTTCTTAAAAAAAAAAGGTCTTCCATCTTATGAATGCACTATCATGTAGCCAATTTAGTGACAACTATATGACATTTCTGTTGAATGACATTAATACTGTAATAGTTAAAAAAAAAAAAAACTATTATTAAAGGTAGAGTTTTTTAAAGTCAAAATATTGGCGATCCCTGGGTGGCTCAGCGGTTTAGCGCCACCTTTGGTCCAGGGTGTGATCCTGGAGACCCGGGATGGAGTCCCACGTCAGGCTCCCTGCGTGGAGCCTGCTTCTCCCTCTGCCCTCCCCCCTCTGTGTGTCTCTCATGAATAAATAAATAAAATCTTTAAAAAAAAAAATGCTGTTTGATAAAAACAAACAAACAAACAAAAAATGTCACAGATTTCTTTGACCAAAAAAAAAGATTTCTTTGACCAGAATCTAGGTACTCACTATTGACTCTTAACTAACATTCAATGTGAATATTAACTTATTGGGCTTGTTTGAGAGAATTTACCCCTGGACATTTGTACTTAGTATTTCTTGTTTTCCCAGTTAGCCATCTGTTCATAAGACCTATGTCCTTACTTCACTGATGTCATCTCAGAGACTTTCTTCCTTGGTTGCTTTTTCTGAATTATATATATCATCATTTTACTCTCATACCTCGCCTTTTTTTTTTTAATTTTTTTTAAACTTATTTATGATAGTCACAGAGAGAGAAAGAGAGAGAGGCAGAGACACAGGCAGCGGGAGAAGCAGGCTCCATGCACCCGGAGCCCGATGTGGGATTCGATCCCGGGTTTCCAGGATCGCGCCCTGGGCCAAAGGCAGGCGCCAAACCGCTGCACCACCCAGGGATCCCCCCTCGCCTTTTTTTTAATAGTATCTATCAACACCTGAATTTTTATATAAGATTTATATTTTAAAAAATATATTTGTTTATTATTTTTCTCTCCTACCATAATTTAAGTTTCATGACAGCAGGGACATGTTTTATCCACTGTTTTTCCAGAACAGCGTCTAATAACTCATAGGAGAGGGCAGCCCCTGTGACTCAGCGGTTTAGCACCGCTCAGTCCAGGGCGTGATCCTGGAGCCCCGGGATCGAGTCCCACATCGGGTTTCCTGCATGGAGCCTGCTTCTCCCTCTGCTTGTGTCTCTGCCTCTCTCTGTGTGTCTCTCATGAATAAAGAAATAAAATCTTAAAAAAATAAATAAATAACTCATAAGAGATGCTTAAAAATATTGGTTGAGTTAATTTGTTGAATGAATGATCATCTAGAATTTGTACTTTGGGCACAAATTCTCAGAAGACAATTACTAAGTTAGAGAGCCCGAACATTTTAAAGACTTGATACATACTCTAGCCCTCTAAAAAGATTTATCAATTTATACTTTAGGGAGTTTTTGTTTTTGTTTTTGTTTTTTTTTTTTATTTATGATAGTCAGAGAGAGAGAGAGGCAGAGACACAGGCAGAGGGAGAAGCAGGCTCCATGCACCGGGAGCCCGACGTGGGACTCGATCCCGGGTTTCCAGGATCGCGCCCTGGGCCAAAGGCAGGCGCCAAACCGCTGCGCCACCCAGGGATCCACTTTAGGGAGTTTTTGTATTTTTATATAAAGTGAGAAGAAATAGAACCCACAAAATTTTAACACTTTTGATTTCTAAAATGTTAGCACATTCTTTATAAAATAAGGAAGCTGAACTAGATTCTTGGGTAATGTCTGGCTCTGAGATCTACCTCTTTCCCCAAATAAAACTAAATATATACAAATGCTTTAATGTCATATAATTGATGATTTGATCATGGATTTTACTTTGCTTCCTATTTAGATTTCTCTTTATTATCTTGGAGGAATAAATCATAAAATATTTAAAGTTTTATTCCCAAAGAATATTCAAAATTGAAAAAAAAAACTTTTAAATTTATTTCCCAAGGCTCAAGCGTTCATCCAATCTTTCTCCCCAAAATCCCTTTATTTACAGGTAGGTAACAACTTAATAGTGTTCGACTCATAGTAACTCTTGTTATTGAAGCTTCCTACACTGGAGTTGGCAGTTGTGATGACAGCCTTTCTCCTAGTAGATTCTGAAAGAAAAGGTCATTCGTATTAGAATGAAAAATTTAGGGATCCCTGGGTGGCGCAGCGGTTTAGCGCCTGCCTTTGGCCCAGGGCGCGATACTGGAGACCCGGGATCGAATCCCACGTCGGGCTCCCGGTGCATGGAGCCTGCTTCTCCCTCTGCCTGTGTCTCTGCCTCTCTCTCTCTCTCTCTGTGACTATCATAAATAAATAAAAAAATTTAAAAAAAAAGAAAGAAAAATTTAGAGTATGAACACTTAAAAAAAAAAATTCCTCTGACAGGACAGTCAGCTACAGGTGGGCAAGATATAGATCATTCCAGCCCTTGGGATTTAGAATACAGTTCAAACCAGTAGGTAACAACCATGAAATTTTTTAAAAAATTAGATCTATGTTGGTGAGTGTTTAAATTGGTATAAAGTATTTGAAGAGTAATTTTGGAATGTCTGTGAAATTTCTGATCCAGCATCTTGGCTTCTAGCAATTTATCATGCAGATTATATACTTTTATATATATATACGTTTTTTAATGCTGTATAACAAATCACCACAAATTCAGCTGTTCGAAACAATGCATTTATTATATCACAGTTACTGTAGGTCAGAGATCCAGGCAGAGTGTGGCTGAATTCTCTGCTCAGGGTCTCCCTGAGCTGAAATCCAAGTGTCACCAGGGCTGCAGTTCTCATCTGCAGCTTGGCATCTTTTCTAAGCTCACCAGTTATTGGCAGTAGGCAGTTCACAGTATCGATGTTTGCTTTCTTCCAGACAGCCTAAATGCATATCTCTACTGCCTTCTGTGATCAACCAGCTGGGGAAAACCCTTTTCTTTTTTTCTTTCTTAAAGATTTTATTTATTTATTCATGAGAGAGAGAGAGGCAGAGACATAGACGGAGGAAGCAGCAGGGGCTCTTTACAGGGAGCCCTAGGTGGGACTATCCTCAGACTCAGGATTATGCCCTGAGCCAAAGGTAGACCTCAACCGCTGAGCTACCCAGGCATCCCAACCCTTTGCTTTTCAAAAGCTCACTTGATTAGGTCAGGTCCACCTAGCAGAATCTCCCTTTTGCTGTAATGATATGTAATCATAGGACTCTCAACATAGCCACAGATTCCACACTCACTGCTGTAGGTCATTGCTGTTCATTTTAGAATTCTGCTTACTATACTCACAAAGATAATAGGTTATGCATGTATAAGGATGTATGATAACAATTATAGTATTAATTGTAATAGCAAAAAAGGAAAATAAAAAAAGAATTTAAATATAAATGAAGGACTACTTAAATAAGTGAGAATACATTTTAAAGAATGGAATACTAGGCAGCTATTGAAAGACCAAGGTGAGCCTACATGTACTGATATGGAGAGATGTTCAAATATATTGCTAGGTGACAGGATCCCATTTGCAGAACATATATAATGCCATCTCCTTTGTAAATTAAAAATATATAATGTGGGATCCCTGGGTGGCGCAGCGGTTTGGCGCCTGCCTTTGGCCCAGGGCACGATCCTGGAGACCCGGGATCGAATCCCACGTCGGGCTCCTGGTGCATGGAGCCTGCTTCTCCCTCTGCCTGTGTCTCAGCCTCTCTCTCTCTCTCTCTCTCTCTCTCTCTTGTGACTATCATAAAATATATATATATATATATATATATATATATATATATATATAATGTTTAGAAGAAATGTATAATAGTTAGCACCTGTGGGGAGTTGGGTCAGCGTAACTTGTATTTTTAATTTTATATCTGCCTGTGGTATTGCTAGAGTTATTTTTATAACTACCATGTACAACTATTATAATAAAATTTTTAACTGGTAATTTAGAATCACCTGAATGGGCCCCAAGCACTTAAGAGGCTTTTTTAAAGCACTGCAGATAATTGTGCTGCTTGCCGCTGGTTTAGAGGCTTTGAAAGTATCTACAATATGTCATTTGAGAACCACTTCACCAAATAGTTTAAAAATTGGAAATATTTTGCATTGTTTTTATAAACCAAATATGGGGATATTACTCATTACACTTCTCTTTTCTTTACCTGGGAAAATTAAATAATGCGTATCAAGCCGTTGACAAAGGTTCTGGAATGATCAGTATGTAGCAAAAAATAAGTCATAAGAAAGCTGCCTATGAATGCCTCTGTTCTGAATTAAGGGTCAGGTTTTTTTAGGTAATATTTTATCCAATCCTTCCTCTGTTTGCTCAGAGTTCTTTTTTTGACTAGTATAAATTGGTTCAGACTATTTTTAGAAGATGAAACAATACAACATTGGGAGAAAATTTTTTAAGTATTTCATTTTACACAGAATTTCTTATCTTAGGTTTTTATTTGCTTTTCACATGCTTTAATTTGTCAAACCAGGTTTCTTTCTTTTTTTCTTATCTATAGAGATACTCCAGTTTCAGTCAAATACTGCATATGAAATGTGGATAAATCTTGGAACAAGCACATAAATACAATTTCACATTTTATTCTTATGAACAAAGATCATGTGTGCTGCTTTGCATGGATGTTTTTTAACTGATAAACGGTCTCTCTTAAAGGGCCATTGTGGCTTTTAGAATCAGCACCTTACAATTACTGCTAAATGATGCTTAGTTTCTGAGTGTGCAGCTGCAGTCTTGTGACTATTTCTAAGGATCGCAGGTGAAGATTGTTTTTTTTTTCTTTTTTTTCTTACATCAATTCTTAAGTTGCTTTACATTACAGTTTTTAAAAAACATTCCTTTCAAACCCAGAGATAATTTGAGTAGCAAAGAAAAATAGAAGTTAACTTTTGACATATCATTTATGGTTACAAAAGCATTGTTTTATTGTTATACACTTGAAAAGTGAACCTAATGCTTTTACGATTCCATCTCATAGCAATTTCTAAAGTAAATTAATTGTTGTTTCCATAAGCCATTTTTTGATATTTAATTAAATAGCTTACCGACAAGTTCTGGAAACTCCTGTTGTTTGCTAATGAAAACAGTACTGTAATGACAGGTTTATTTTTTTTTAAATAAGTATTGTTTGTCATTAATTATAGTATTATTTGTAGTACTAAGAGATTGGTGTGGTTAAATTGTGGTATATCCATAAAGTGAACTACTCTCCATAAAGTGTTTGTGTGCTTGTTCCAAGATTTATTCACATTTCAGATGCAGCATTAGAATGAAACAAGCATAAAAAGTAATTACAAACTCTTCATATAAAGATGTGGCATGATCTCCAAAATATGTTAAGTACAAAAAGCAAGTGTAAAACAGTGTATATAAACTACCATTTATGTGAAAAACAAAAGGATGGTTTGAAAAGAGAATAAATATCTGCATGTGTATGCATAGGGTATCTTTGTAAAGATCTCCAGAAAACTAGTAATACTGGTTGCCTGCGGGGGTGGGGTGGGGGGGGGTGGTGTGGTGTGGTGGCAGGAGTAGAGGTTTGTAGGAGGCTCTGTATAGCCTTTTATAGCTTTTGTATTTTTTAACCATGTAAATGTAAATCTTTTTTTAAATAATGAAAGCAAATGTAAATGAAGATAAGTATATAATCAGTGGCTAGACCAGGTCAGGGTTTCTTGCAAATAGTGTTGACTCTCAAAATTACTTATAGGGCAGCCCGGGTGGCTCAGCGGTTTAGCACCACCTTTAGCCCAGGGTGTGATCCTGGAGACCTGGGATCGAGTTCTGTGTCAGGCTTCCTGCATGGAGCCTGCTTCTTCCTCTGCCTGTGTCTCTCTCTGCCTCTCTCTCTCTCTCTCTCTCTCTCTCTCTCTCTCTCTCTCTCTCTTTCTCATGAATAAATAAATAAAATCTTTAAAAAAATTACTTTTAAAGAATATTGTTGAAACTTTGTTTTGTTAATGTTGTAGTGTTGATACTGGTTAGAACTTGTATCATCAGTGTGATCCTGTGATTGAGGTACGTTTTTCCTTTATTATGGAAATGATTGTCTTATGGAAGGTAGCTTAAAATTTGTCATGAAAATAAAACACTGAGTCAAGTAATTTAATTAACCTTTGGGAATTATATGTTTGGCTATTTAGATTCTCCTATTAAATATTTAATTTGAAATAATGATTGGGAAGAGAACTGCATAGTTTTTTTTTTAATTTTTATTTATTTATGATAGTCACAGAGAGAGAGAGAGAGAGAGAGGCAGAGACACAGGCAGAGTGAGAAGCAGGCTCCATGCACCAGGAGCCCGAAGTGGGATTCGATCCCGGGTCTCCAGGATAGCGGCCTGGGCCAAAGGCAGGCGCCAAACCGCTGCGCCACCCAGGGATCCCCGAACTGCATAGTTTTAAGAGCATGAATAGGTTCAGTTTCCAGCCCAACATCTGGCAAGTAGACCCAATTTCTTTAGCTTTTTAATGAAGATAGTAATAGTACTTGTTTCATAGGGTTTCTGTGAAGATAAAATAAGGTAATTATATTAGTTAATACTTACATAGTACCTACTATGTGCCAGACATTATTCAAAGCATTTTACATATATGAATTCATTTAATCTTCACAGCAGCCTTGTAATGTAGGCATGTATTGTTATTATGCCTATTTTATGGATGAGGACATCAAAGCATAGGGAGCTAAGTCATCTGTGCTGAGTAGCATAGCTAGTAAACCAAGGTTCAGATCCAGGCAGTCAGGTTCCAGACTGTTCTCTTGACCACCGTGCCGTGAGGAACACTTTTTTTTTTTTAAGATTTTATTTATTTATTTATTCATGAGAGACACAGAGAGAAAGGCAGAGACACAGGCAGAGAGAGGAGAAGCAGGCTCCATGCAGGGAGCCCGATGGGGGCTCGATCCCGGGACTCCAGGATCACACCCTGGGCCAAAGGCAGACGCTCAACCACTGAGCCACCCAGGCGTCCCTGTGAGGAACACTTAACCCAGATACACTGTGAGCCTTCAACAAATTCAATAATAAAGGTAATATGATAATATATATTATTATAGAAAGTTAATATTATCTCAACAGAGAAAACACAAATAAACTAAGCCAAAGAAGAATATAGATATCATCTTCAGTCTAACCCCTCAGGAGATAAGTGTTGGTGTTTATATACCTATCCATATACTTTAAGAAAATAACATTTTGTAAACTATTTTGATCATGTATTAATATAACATTTACTTCTGTTTTGCTTAATTTGATTTATAACCTCCTGGTTTTTAAAATTTTTTATTAATTTTTAATTTTTAATTCCAGTATAGGTAACATATAGTTTTATATTAGTTTCAGATGTACAATATGTGATTCAGCAACTCTATGTGTTACTTAGTGCTCATCATGATAAGTGTACCCTTAATCCCCATCACCTGTTTCATCCATCCCCCCCACTCACCTCTCCTCTGGTCATCATCAGTTTGTTCTCTATAGTTAAGAGTCTGTTTCTTGGTTTATGTCAGTTTTCCACCTGTTACTTAATGACATATTTTCTGGATAATTGTAGAGACCCCACCCTCTGACCACCGGAGTGTTTCTTTGTTCTTTAACCCCAAAATACAATTTAAGATGAACATTTTTATACAGAATATAATTAGGACAAAATTTGCTTAAAGACCTTAAAAATCATGAGCAAAAGATTATTGACATTTTATTGATTACTCTTAAAACTTCAGTTTCCATTAATATATGTTCAGTACCTCCAGGGAATTTTTTTAGACCCAACAAAACATTTAGGCTTACAAGACTACCATGGGCCATATTGGCATTCATCTACTTAAGAAGGATACGGTCCAGGAAGGGGGGACAACCCAGGCATTCCTTTTCAGTGGGTATAGCAGTCCAGACGTTTTCTGCCTTTCACCATCCCCTCCAAGTCACAATCCCAGGTGCAGGGAAACAAAATCCACATTGGGCAGATCAGGGAGCCACTGTGGTTTAGAAGCCTCATGTAGCACAGTTGCCAGTATCTCCCATAAAGCTTGGTTGGTATAGATTCCAGGGTCCCAGAGGGACCTACCTCGAGTCATCATTGCACTCAGAAGTCCAAAGCTATAGCTGCCTATGAAGTAATTGAGTAATTTTTACCATAAGAAATGTTGCCTAATAACACAGCTGACATTCACCTTAACAGGTTTCCAGGGCAACGGGACTAGAAGGTTAATCCAGGGTCACATTTGTCTTTAGAGAAGATTTTGTTTACCTTTTAGATTTTGTTTACAGCTTTTCAAGAATATTTTTATAAAGATGATTGTGTTTTCAAATTTGCCTGAAATAAATGACTTTGAACTAGCTTCATAATTTTCTGCCCAATATCTTTATTCATATATGATAAATTGAGCTTTTCTTCTTTTGACTGTTTTTCTTTTTTTATAGGTCGAATTAAATATTCTGAAGAGGTATATGATGCATGTATGGAGACATTTGACTGTCTTCCTCTTGCTGCCCTCTTAAACCAGCAGTTTCTGTGTGTACATGGAGGGATGTCACCTGAAATTACTAGTTTAGATGACATTAAGAAAGTAAGTAACCTTTCATTAGTCTCATGGAATATATATTTTTTCAGTTTTATTTTTTATTGTAGTCAACTATATGCCTCTATTGCTGAAAAATTTTAAATGCAGATAATCAAAAGTAAGAGATTGGAAATCATCTGTGACCTCATTATTGGGAGAGGACTACTATTAACATTTTGCTAAATGTCTTCCAGAAAATTTCTGTAAATTTTAGTGAAATCTGTACTTTCATCAACTGGAAACATAACCTATTTTGAGTATAGCCCTAAAATTTTAAATTATGTAGCATTACGAAAGGAAGGAAATCAGGCTTCCCCTGTCCTGCAATTAATTGTGTAACCTTGACCAAATCAAGGTTAATTCTTAGTTACATTTTCTTCTCTGGGAAATGAGGAAGTTAGAATGGATAGTCTGTGAACTTCCAGCTCTCAAATTCATTGGCTTTGGCATTTTATTTTATTATTTTTAAAATATTTTATTTGTGTATTCATGAGGGACACACAAAGAAAGAGAGAGAGGCAGAGACACAGGCAGAGGAAGAAGCAGGCTCCATGAAGGGAGCCTGATGTGGGACTCGATCCCAGGACTCTAGGATCATGCCCTGGGCTGGAGGTGGGCGCTAAACCGCTGAGCCACCCAGGGATCCTGGCTTCGACATTTTATTTATTTATTTATTTATTTATTTATTTATTTATTTATTTATTTATTTATTTATTTATTTATTTATGAATTTTTATTTATTTATGTATGATAGTCACAGAGAGAGAGAGGCAGAGACACAGGCAGAGGGAGAAGCAGGCTCCATGCACCGGGAGCCCGATGTGGGATTCGATTCCGGGTCTCCAGGATCGCGCCCTGGGCCAAAGGCAGACGCTAAACCGCTGCGCCACCCAGGGATCCCCCGGGCTTTGACATTTTAGATGATAGAGTTTAACTGCTACACTTGCATGAGTTAATGATTATTATTTTCAGGATTTTCTATAAAGATGATCAATCTTTTTTTTTACTTCTTTTGTCCTACATTATCATCTTCTTTTCTCTACCTTTGTATTATACCTGTCTCATATAGGTACTGAAATTAAAGATTTTTTTTTGTTTATAAAACTTTTCTCTGAATTAAAGTTACTCTCCTCAGGGTAAGAGGGTGTGCCTATATTTCTGCTGCCTTATGATCTTTAAAATAACCGACTTTCTCCTTTACATTGTAAGTCTTGAATTTTGCAATTCTGAATCAATTGTATTAAAAACCTCCCCTTTCATTTAGAAGTCCTCAACTCTTTTAGTTACTGGTTTTGTCTTGGTTTTCATGCTACTAACCACAGCAGCAGTGACTAAAAGCTTAAATTAATAACTTACATTGAAATGCCTGCACTGCATAGAAGGGAAAGGATGAAAGTTCTTTACAAAATAAAACTAGAAATCTCCTTTGGAATGAGGTAAACAGTGAACAGAACCATTGTAAAACCTTTCCTGGTCTTATGGTAATGTTAGCTCACCTAGGCAGTTGAAGTGAATTTTACATAGTCTTTCTCAATAATAATATATCTCTATAATGTTTGATTTCACATTTGAATTAAATGAGTTCTGCTTTTAAGACTAGGATGTAAAGGAGTCCTTTTCTACAGTATGGTTAGATGCCAGGGATATTTGTAAAAATTTATTTCAAAAAAATAATAAATATGTATCCAGATTTGTTAAATGCTCATTTTCTTCCTAAAGGAAAACTTCTCTAAAGGGCTTGCTGCTTTTTCTCCTAATACATTCTTTTGGGTAGGAGGGTTTTGTTTTGTTTTGTTTTTTGACCCATACCAGTTTCCAAAAGCTCTTTTGCTTTCATGACTTTTCTTCTTTTGGCTTTTGTGTGTCTTTTAGTTAGACAGGTTTAAAGAACCTCCAGCCTTTGGGCCAGTGTGTGACCTGCTTTGGTCCGATCCTTCAGAGGATTATGGCAATGAAAAGACTTTGGAGCACTATACCCACAACACTGTCCGAGGGTGCTCTTATTTTTACAGGTAAGCTAATCCCCAAAGTTATAAAATTAAGAAAGGCAATTGTAATATGTATCATCAAATTATTTTTAAGTACTTTATATCTCTGATTTCTGTAGTATAGAGACTTGTTTGATTTTTTGATTAATAGAAGGTAGAAAACGTGTTTATTTTGTTTTTCATATTTTAATAGGTATAATGTGCTCCCATAATATATAGGAGTACCTTCATTAATACCTAAGTGTGATGTACTGGACATAATTGAACAGAACATCTTGCAGTGCTTAAGTGTTTTCTGATTCTAAACGATCTCGATTATTATCAATGAGTTTTTAAAAAATAAAGATTTGTTGGCTATTCCCCCAGAGATTCTGATTAGGTAGATCTGAGACAGGAAAATCCTGTTATTTTTTTTTTATAAAGAGCTCTCTGGCATTTGGAACCACTACTATAGGCAAAGATATAAAAAGAATAGGACATTGTGAACTAAGTGCAGGACATTTCCTGGAAGTTGGCTGCTGTCTTAAATCTCCTATGTGAGCTTTTATTGTGTTCTGCCATTCAAAAATAGGGAGATAGAGGTTTGAAGTCTAAAGTTTTTTAATCCCAATATTTTACTGTGACAAGTAATGCATATATTTAGTTCCCTAAAAATCTGTTAATTGCATGAGATAACATATTCATTAAGTGAAATCCACATACAAAAAGTAAAAAGCTTTACTACTGCCATAGTTTTAACATTCTTCTAAGCAACCTTGTTTTAGTTCTTTCTAAATAATTTTTTTTCTTTCTAAATAATTTAGATTTTACTTCTCTTTTAAAAAAATAAGATTTTATTTATTTATTTTGAGAGAGAAAGAGAGCACATTGGGTGGGGGGAGGGGCAGAGGTTGAGGGAGAATCTCAAGCCGACTCCCCACAGAACATGGAACCCACACAGAGTATGGCTCAGTCCCATGACCCTGAGATCATGACTTGAGCCAAAACCAGGAGAAGGACAGTCAGCTAACTGACTCCCTAAATTTTACTAATCTTTACACTGCTTAAAATAAAGAGCATAATATCTTTTTATTGTTTGCTCAATATAAACCGGTATGATTTCTTTGGAGATGAACCTGACAGCATCTCTCTATTATAAAGGCCTTTAATCCAGAAGTTCTACTCTAACGTGTAGTCCCGTGGCTATACAATTGATTCTTGGTATTTACGAATTCCGATATGCAAACTTGTCTACCTGCTAAGAATTACTTATAAGTGTAAAGTCCCCCCTCATAGCACTTTCACTGTCATTCAGACATGCACACATGCAGAATGATGAAAAATGTTACTTAATGTGTGTTCCTGAGGTCTCAAGGAGCTGCTCTGCCTTCTTGTTTCATGCTTAAGACCATTCTTTTTCTGATCCATTTAGTGCAATATTTTTCACATTTTTTGTTGGTAAAATGGCCCCTAAGCATAGTGCTTAAATGCTATTGAGTATTTATTCATGTAAGAGGCTGTGATGTGTCTTACAGATAAAACACATGTATGTTGGGATGCCTGAGTGCCTCAGCAGTTGAGCATCTGCCCTTGGCTCAGGGCATGATCCTGGGTCTGGGGATTAAGTCCCCCATCAGGCTCTCTGCAGGGAGCCGCCTTCTCTATGTCTCTCTCTCTCTCTCTGTGTCTTTCATGAATAAATACATTTTTAAAAATACATGTATGTTATATAAGCTTTATTTGGGAATGACTTACAGCATTGTTGTCCATGAGTTCCATGTTAATTAACCAACAGTATATATTAAGTAAGGTATCCTTACACAGGGACACACATAAAACAAGGTTATATATTGATTGGTTAATGAAAATGTGACCAGAGGATCAGAGGACCCTAACTATGTATTTTCTCTAGGAGTGGTGGTTCAGTTTTAACTAACTCAGTATTTACAAGTTAGCTTTATAGAACATAGCTAATGCAAATAATAATAATCAACTATGTGGAAGTGTGTAAAATATATACAGTTGACCTTTGAACAATATGTGTTTGAACTGAACAGGTCTACTTACACATGGATTTTTATTTTTTTTAATTTTTTTTTACACATGGATTTTTAAATATAAATACAATACAGTACTATAAATTTATTTTTTCTTATGATTTTCTTTTTTAAGATTTCATTTATTTATTCATGAGAGACACAGAGAGAGGCAGAGACATAGGCAGAGGGAAAAACAGGCTCCATACAGGGAGCCCAATGTGGGACTCGATCCCAGGACCTCAGGATCATACCCTGGGCCAAAGGCAGCCACTCAATGGCTGAGCCACCCAGGCGTCCCCGTTATGATTTTCTTAATAACATTTTCTTTTTTCTAGCTTGCTTTAGTGTAAGAATACAGCATATAATAGATAGAACATAGAACTTTGATACAAAATATGTATCAATTGACTGTTAAGGGTAAGGCTTCTTAGTCAATAGGCCAGTAAAGTTTTGGGGAGTCAAAAGTTACATACATGAGGAGTGCCTGGCTGGCCCAGTCAGTAGACATGTGACTTTTGATCTCAGGGCCATGAATTTAGGCCCCATGTTGGGCATGGAGCCTACTTAAAAAAAGTTTAACAGAAGAAAAATTTTAAACACAGATTTTTGACTACATGGAGAATCAGCAATCCCCACATTGTTTAAGAGTCAATGGTATGAGGTTATTTACTGCTGTATTATTTATGATAAAAACTCAATTTTTTTTTTAAGTAGGCTCCATGCCCAGCAAGGAGCCCAATGTGGGGCTTGAATTCATGACCCTGAGACCCTAAAATCAAGATTGTGATGTTTAACCAATAGAGCCACCCAGGGCAGGGTACCCCTATGATAAAAGATTTAAAACAACCTAATCTTGTGGTACATTCAGACAATGGAATGTTCCAGATTATGCAATGAGGCTATTTTTTTTAAAAGATTTTATTTATTTATTCATGAGAGACACACACAGAGAGAGAGAGAGAGAGAGAGAGAGAGAGAGAGAGAGAGAGACAGGCAGAGGGAGAAGCAGGCTCCACGCAGGGATCCTGATGTGGGACTCAATCCCAGGACTCCAGGATTACGCCCTGGGCTGAAGGCAGTGCTGGACCACTGAGCCACCCAGGGATTCCGAGGCTATTTTTTTTTTTAACTTAAACAAAAAAAAAAAGAAACTCTTTATATATGGATACAAAATAAAAACATACCTTATTTTATTGCAAGGTATGTACATTATTTTTTTAGACATAAATAATGGGAATAAATTTTGGGAAACCAAAAAATTAATTTGACCTGCTTTATTTCAATATTTGCTTTGTTATGGTGGTCTGAAACAGAACCCACAACATCTCCAAGGTATGCCTATAGAATATCTTTTAAAGGATAGTCAAAGAAACCGAGAACATTGGTTGCTTCTAAGGTAGCTGGAAGATAGATGTAAGAAGAAGGAGGCATTTAGGGGGGCCTGGCTAGATCAGAAGAGCATGCAGCTGCCTCTTGATCTTGGGGGTGTGAGTTTGAGCCTCATGTTGGGTATAGAGATTATTTTTAAAAAATAAACTTAAAAAAAAAGGAAGCATTTCACTATATAACCATTTGTATGTTTCCATTTTATACCATGTGAATGTAATTGATTTTTCTAATGAGCATAATAAGAAAGATTTAAACATGAAGTAAGTAATTAACACTAATTCTAGGATAATTTAGTATCCTTCAGTTTTTCCTATCAGATTTTTCTATTTTCTTTTTTTTTAATAGAGGAGAGACAGAAGGAGAGAAAGAATCTTAAGAAACCTAAACAAAAATCAAGAGTGCACCTGGGGCACCTGAGTTTGGCTAGGTCTTGATCTCAGGGTAATGAGATCCAACCCCACTGAGCTCCATGCTCAACACAGAATCTGCTTGAGATTCTCTCTCCCTCTCCCTCTGCCCCTCCTGCTCTTGCGCACATTATCTCTCTCACTCTCTCTCTTTCTCTCCCCCCCCCCTCTCTTTCACACACACTACCCTGGTTTTTTTATTATTATTATTATTAAGACAAGAAAAGTTTTGGTGGTGTTATGTTATGGGTTAAGACAAAAAAAATTAAAAGGTAAGGAAGTTCTTTTTCTGTCCTAAGGTTGTTTGTTAGCTGCATATTTGATCTGGAATGAGGTATATTAGTGAAGTGGAAAAACAGTGATGATTGCTAAGCCATTAATAAAAGTTTATTGATATATCAAACCTATAATTTTGAAACAAATTAAACTTATAGTATCTTGACTTTTCCCCTTCCTCCTGTTAGAAAACAATTGTTTTGGGCACTTAAATGACTTAGTTGGTTAAGCATCTACTTTCGGCTCAGGTCAGGATCTCAGGGTCCTGGGATTGAGCCCTGAGTCAGGCCCTGCTCAGCAGGGAGCCTGCTTCCATTCTCCCTCTGCCCCTCCTCCCTCTCCCTCTGCCCCTCCCCTGCACCCTTGCTTGGGCTCTCTTGCTCTCTCAAAAATAAATAAATTCTTTAAAAAAATAATAAAAAATAAGGGGTACCTGGGTGGCTCAATCAGTTGTGTCTGCCTTCGGCTCAAGTCATGATCTCAGGGTCCTGGGATTGAGCCCCCCATCGGGCTCCATGCTCAGTGGAGAGTCTGCTTCTCTCTCTCCCTCTGTGCTCACTCTCTTTCTCTCTCTCAAATAAATAAATAAAATCTTTAAAAATAATAAAATAAAAGACAATTGTTTTAGTTCTGGGTTTATGTTTTCTAATTTTCTTTTTCAGTTACCCTGCAGTTTGTGAATTTTTGCAGAACAATAATTTGTTATCAATAATCAGAGCCCATGAAGCCCAGGATGCTGGGTAAGTTATATTAAAACTGTACCAAAAAATAATAATAATAAAAGAATAAAACTATACCAATTATCATCGTCGAGTTTTTGCCTTTAATATCAAGACAGATTATTATCTCTCTTCTAGGTATCGAATGTACAGGAAGAGCCAAACGACAGGCTTCCCATCACTCATTACAATTTTCTCTGCCCCCAATTACCTAGATGTCTATAATAATAAAGGTAAAGGAGTCCAGTGATATTTGAATTTGAATTTGTGAGTAAATGTGAGCTCTAGTTTAATCATATGTATGTATATATATTTTATATATATATATATATATATATATATAAATTTTAAATAAGAAAAGAGGTCTTAATTGAAACAAGGGCCAAGGAACTTCGAATTTAGGCTACTGCTTGGTTTTCATTTCCTAAGGATTATTGGGCTTTTTGTAAATATAAATAATGATCATAATAGGTCTGATGTATACTCCTGAATCAAAATATAAGAAGAATGGGGTGCCTGGTGGCTCAGTTGGTTGAGTTAGTCCATTGAGTCAGTGGCTCTTGGTTTCTGATCAGGTCATGATCTTGTGGGTTGTGGGATTGAGCTCTGTGCTCAGGAGGGAGTCTATTTGAAGATTCTGTCTGTGTGCCTCCTCCCCACTCTTTCGCCCTCTCTCTGTAAAATAAATCTTTAAAAATACATATATAAGAAGAAGTTATTTCAGGTTCATGTTAGAATAGTCATCATAAATTATTGCTTTTGGTGAATTTAATTTATTTGTAACAGTATCTCAATAAAATGTCACTGGTGTTTTAATGTTTGTAAATTATTAAGCTGTTTTTGCTTTTTGTGAATGATAGAGGTAGAATGAATACTGTACAACAAGTCAGAAAAATCATTTTAGTCCAAGCCCCACCATAAACCAATAGTGTGACTTTAAATAAGTCACATAATTTTTCTAAGCCTCAGTTTCCCATATAAACAAAGAGGAAAAAAAATAAAAAATAAAGAGGATTAAATATAAACATGCTTGCAATCCAGAAATTCTCATTCTTATACTTTATCCTATTGAAATTTTTTACTTTTACATATGCCCAATGTAGGGCTTGAACTCATGACCCTGAGATCAAGAGTTGCATACTCTACTGATGGAGCCAGCGAAGTACCCTGAAATTTTTTTAAAAATTTTTTATGATTCATAATTTGTAAGTATCAGGGCAAAATTCCTCTGTAATATCCTCTGTAACATGCCTCTGTGTAACTATTTTGTCGTTTACAAAGTATGACTATAAAATAATAGAACTTCCTTACAAACATGCTGGAACATATATATCCAAGTGAGTATTGTCCCTTCACAGTAGTTACCTTGGAAAGGTATATGCTTATTCCAACAATGCTGCCATTGTTCAAAACGTTTTTGGAACTCCTCTTTTGGCATTGCCTTCAGAGTCTGCGACACATTCTTTTGATTATCCTCAGTGATGGGAAATCTTCGTCCTTTGAGGGTGGATTTGATTTTTGGAACAGCCAAAAGTCATTCGGAGTCAAGACTGGTGAATAAGGTGAGTGATCAAGCTAGATGCTACCATTTGGGGTCAGAAACAAGGTATGATTATAGGGTAATGAGACTGGTTTTTCTTGTGTTGCTTATAAAATAGGTTTGGAGGCGATTCCAAAAGAGGAGTTCCAAAAATGTTTTGAGTAATGGCAGCATCTTTGGATTAAATATACAGTAAGGGAGCAAGGTATATTGAAAAGAGTACTAAGCTAGGAATCAGAAATTCTAGTCTAGTCCTGCTTCACTTTTAAATTCACAGTTAACATGACAATTTCACATTTAAGAAGACACTTAACTTCTCTGAGCCTCAGTGTATCTTTAAAATAGGGTTATTGAAGATAAGTTGGAACAATAAAAATAAACATTAAAAGCATCTGTCAAACTCTGAAATTGCTATGATACTATAACATTTTACTGTTATTGTACCTAGTGTGATTACATCAGAGGACCATACTCATCTTATATATAAGGTCTGGTGTGTTTGTAGTTGGTGGTTTTTAAGTCTCATTACTTTATAGTCATACCTTGTATATGCAGCTGGGGAGTCAAGTTTAAAAGAAATCCACAGTATACTAACTATGTAACCTTTTTAAAGGGAAACTGAGGAATGGCACATCTCACTTCAGTCTAATTTGAATCAGTCATCTCAGGGTCCTTCAGTGGCTTACTATCCATTTAAAAAAAAAACAAACTTCTTTAAGTTCTCTCTTAGCTGTATAGTTTTTTACATCTCGTCATTCTTTTCTGAGTCTTACCTATCCTGCAACACTCTGCTTCTCCCTAACTCCATTCTTTCTTATTTCCTTCTTCCTAATATTCCCAATATGTTAGACTTAGTTTTGTTCTTATTTCTTCCATTATGAATGGTATGTACTGCTTGTATTGGTCACTTCTTCAAGGACACTTCCTGGCCCTATTTCTTATATTTGTGAGAAGACGTTCCCTTGTCCCTTGTTAAACCTCTCTAGGAAGAGTGTCTGTTGACTGCACAGTGGATTTATCAGTGTGCTCACCTAAAGCATGGCACCCAACATAGCAGTCATTTCACTTGTTCACTAAATACCCTAGCTCATTTTCTGCCCCCTTCTAACCTGGTTTTGATCTTGATTATTCCTTTAGTGAACTTTTAAAGTCATAGTCCATTCTACCAGTGTTTTCTGTTGACTGATACAATTGGTAACTATTTTAAACATTTTTATTTTCCTTGGTTGTTTCTCAAACTTTTTTTTTCTTTTTTTAAGAAAAACACAGTGGCATCTGAAACAATATCTGCTGGTATTCATTTACTCCCCATCCAAGTACCTCTTTCTTGAAAATGACAGCCCTCTCCCTCTTTCCTTTCTCTCTTTCTTCTCCTGTTGCTTTTCTTTCTTGCATATTGGTACCAACAAGTATACCTTAGTTCCAGTGATTATGTGAAAGATCCTTAAGTCATGATTTTTAAAGATTTCTATTTTCATTTTTTTGTGTCTACTGGGAACATACCCAAAAGCAATTTTTTATACTCTCATTTCTAATCACCCACTAGAAAGACCCACTTCTCACTTCTTTTTCCTGTATAGATTGAGGGAAATGCTGAATAATTATAAATTCATCTAACCTAAATAAAATACATGTATATGAAAATAATGGGACATGTATATCATATCCAGTGTTAGGTTTTTAAGAGCAGGAGATCCTACTTTAATGTATTTTCTTTATAATCCATGGTATACATTTTAGACACTCAGCAACTTAAATTTTGAGCATATGAGGCTATCCTTTAATAAGCAAAGAAACAGAAACTAGGAAATGACCTATACCTGTCATTTCTGGAGTACTTCATACCTGATTCTATTTATGGTCACATAAATACTACTTCAAATAGACTCCCTGCTGAGCTCAGTAAGAGTAAAGAGAATAATGCCAACAACATTGCAGTGCTTGTGCTCATGGTAAAGTCTAAGAAATTGGATTTTAAAACTTAAAATATAAAGAAAATTAGTTTGGTACCAAAGTATGTATACAAATACATGAACTGGTTAATTTAAACATTTATACAGTGCTAGCAGTATAGTGATTCTGTATAGGAGAGGTGGATATTTCTTAGTCCTTTATATAATATGCAGAGATGATTTAATCTACTTTTGAGCCTTGTAAATTGGTTCAGGTTTACCATCTGCATTCCCCTCTATGAATTGATAATTGCTATGTTATAAGCTCCCAGACAGTTTATAAAGTCTTTGGCTCTGGGTAATGACTAGCAAAACAGGCTGTGTTCACTTAATGAAAAATGTTTGTCTTCAAAAGAAACTGTAATTGTAACCATTTGTCCTATAAAGGGAAATTATGACAACATTTTTCTAATGTGGAACCTGAGATTTCTATAGACAGTTACTGTGCAGTGACCCTTTGAAGTTTCAAAATTCAGTTTCTTTTGTACTTTTATTATATGAGATCTTCAGGTAACTTTGTTCATTTGGATAATTCTTAAAAGAATGAACTGTGTAAAATGCTTTAATATTTTCCATCTGTTCTTAAATACTGAGTTCTGAATTTACAAATGGAAAGTAAGCTCATGAATTCTGTTTAGTAGGTACACAGCTGTACAAAGCATACCAGTTGCCATGTCGTGTTCTTCTGTACCAGATTTTCCTGCCTTTTCCTTTTTAGCTGCTGTGTTAAAATATGAAAACAATGTCATGAATATCAGGCAGTTTAACTGTTCTCCACACCCCTACTGGCTTCCAAACTTTATGGATGTTTTCACTTGGTCTTTGCCTTTTGTTGGGGAAAAAGGTAAGAGAACTGGATTATCGTCTTAATTAGTAATGGAGCACACTTTTATATTTGCCTGAGCCCCCTGATTCAGAAATGTTTTTCTTAAACTTATAGAAGTAAAAAAATAAGAATAAAAATAAGAATAATAACGTTATCAGAAATGTTTTCTAATTTTCTTCTTGACAAAGATTTTTGAGTGGCACTTAACTGGTTTTTAAATTATAGTTCTAGTCAATTATGCTCATCTTATTGTAAATATCAATTTAAAGTAGCTATCCAGCTATGACCAGGATGTTAAAATAGCATAAATCACCGCACCTTTCCTTCAGTATTTATTCAGTGATAAAGAGATATAAATAGGAAATATTGTCCTGTAAATTTTATTTGTGCACCTATACAAGTAAGCTATGCAAATATAAAATAAATCTGTCTTTGTAAAATGGGAGGAAATCTTTCTGTGTACACATCAGTGAGGAAAAGGTTCTGGACAGCAGTTCCATGGAACCAAGTAATTATGCAATCAAATCTTCAAAGACCAGACCTTTACTGAAGCAAGTAATTTCCCCAAATTCTTTATAAATCTGAAAGTCTAGATTTAATGTAACTTTTTATAATTATTCTTAATAGCATTATGATAAATAATTTTTATTTAACATGTATTTTACTTAGACATCCACATCATTGTAGAAAGACTATCTTACTAATTGTATAAATTCTGGGTTATTTTGTCTTCTCATACAGTCACAGAGATGCTGGTCAACATTCTCAACATCTGTTCTGACGATGAATTGATCTCCGATGATGAAATTGAAGGTAAACTTGCCTTTTTCTCATTTGAACTAGAAACAAAGAAATTTTAGCTTTGGTTTTACTTTGTTTTGAGTAATTTTCTGTGTCTTGTTAAAAACAGAATTGTGTGTATTACAGAAAAGTAAAATTTGAAAAATGCAGGAAACCATAAATAACAAAAAAGTTACCTATAATTCTACCATCTTGTAGATATTGACTGTTCATATCCTAATGTAATATTGGGTGACCTTTTATCTTTGCATATATTTTCCCCCTCTTTTTCCTTTTTAACAAAAAGGTCGTATATTAGTATCACAAACATTTATAGTTTTTTTATAGACTAATTTTTAATAGTTACTTAGTTGTCTTTATTGATGATTTTTGTTTTAATCAATCTCCTGCTGTTGGATATTGGATTTTTTCTAACTTTTTAAAAACCGTACAGTTTTGAAAATTCTTACAGATAAATCTTTACACATTCTGTCAATAACCAATATTTATTACATGCCTACTATTAGTACTATTTAGGTCCTTGCATGCAATAAGCTTATATTCTAGTGGTGGGAAGACAAACAATAAATAAGTGCAAATAAGTGCAAGTCAGATGTTGATACATGATACGAAAGAAAGGGGGAAGCAATATTAAGAAATTGAGAATAACATTTTCTTGATTATTTTCACAGGATAAATTTCTAGAAATTGAATATCTGTGTTAATTAGTATTTACAATTTTAATAAATCAGATACAGATAACTTCTTGGAAGGCTATACCAGATTACATTTTTTGTGTATGATGCATAGTTCATGTGTACTCTCCAATACTGTTTATTACCATTTTTCTGTCTGGTGTTTTTAAAATTTTAATTTGTATATTTATGATGACTGATGAACAGTTTTTTTAATTGACCACATGTATTTTTCTTTTGTGAATTGTCAATTCATTCCTTTTGCCCATTTTCTTACTGGGTTATGTGCATGTTCGTTTTTTGCTTTCTTCTTATTAGCTGTGTGAGGGATCTTTATATAGTAACATTTTGTTAGATATGTAGCCATGTATTTTTTGTCTAGTATGTTGTGGGATGTTTGATTTTAAAGATAGGTCCTAATTTATCTGAGAATGTAGAAGATTCTGGAAAGGTGGTGGCTCCTAAGTTCAAACCTCTGGCTGTCTCATTTTCCAAGCTCTGTGCTGAAGTGACTTACTCACCTGTTAGGATAAACCATCTATGTAGTGGAAAAAGCCTAGCTTACTTTGGGCAGATAGAGAGGAGTCCTAAACATCCTTATGTTTTAGATTCCACATGAGGGTGAAGAGCAGATGGAGCATAGCTTGTGAGTATCCTTATATATGAGATAGGAGATCACTATAAGGAACCAGTTCTTGAGGAAATAGTATAGACAAGAGGAGATTAAAACAAAAAAAGCATTTAAGTTAGGGAAAGATAAAATATGTAAGAAATAGATGTAATAGAATTTGTATTCAAATCTTTGTGCATATAGAAATTATTGTGAATGCTAATTGTATGCACTAAGAAAGGATTCTTAATTACCATAAAGATATGCTTACAAAATTATGCCAAAAATTTAATATATATTTTAATATATATTAAAATATTGTCATAATAGCAACAGATTCAAAATAATCTAAATGTCCCTCAGTGGAGAGGTGGGTAAGTCAAGTATGACATACCCATATGATAGATTCAATACATAACATTATTTTCCTTATGCAAGCCTCCTTTTCCTCCTTCTTTTCTAGTTAGCTCTTGTTTAGCTTATTATAACATTTTCATGGAAGATCTTTCTGACCTCCCTGACTAGATCTAATACCCCTGTCATGCTGTGTCATATCACCATGTCCCTCTCCTTACCATTTACTAGAATGGTAATTTTGCATTTATTTATATTACTATAAGATTAATATATTTTACTCCCACTCAACTATAAACCCCCTAAGGGCTAGGGCACAGTTGGTTTTTGCTCACCAAGAGAGCCCTAAAGCCTACTGTAGTGTAATGAGCATGGTAAGTAAACATTTCTTGAGTTAGATTGAGTGATATGAAGGGCAACTATTAAGAAGAGAATGGAGTAGAGCTTTTGGTGCTAATATGGAAAATTTATTAGATATTCTGTTAAGTGCAAAAGTAAATGTATAGAATCCTCTCCCATTTTTTTACAGGGTGTGTAGCCATAAGCTGATATGTGGTTTTTAATTTTTTATGAAAGGAAATGAAGAATAACCTTTTAGGTTATGATGGTGAATTGAACATACTTCTAATTCCATTCCTTTCTGAAGCTACACTAAAACCACATACAATTTTAGTGATATAAACTAAAGATTTCTACTTTAGTTATGCTATAATAGATCATTTAAATCAATCCTGACTTAAGATAACTGTAAAAGCTAGACACAGTATTTTCAAATTTGCTTTAAAGGCATTCAGAAAGCTAATGAAGTAAAATAATTACCAAGAGACCCGGAAAAAGGCATAAATCAGAGAGGTAAAACCAAAATTTGGAACTATTTCTCTCCTGGAGTTATTCATGAATTTCAAAAGAAGGGGCTAAGAGGTTAAGCAGCCCTCTTGATAGAAGCTAAGAAATTAGGGCTTGGATTATCTGGGTGGCTTAGTTGGTTGGGCATCCAACTCTTTTTTTTTTTTTTTTTGGCATCCAACTCTTGATCTCAGATCGGCTCTTGGTCTTGGGGTTGTGAGTTCAAGCCCAGTGTTAGGCTAGGTACGGAGTCTAGGTTAAAAAAAAAGTTAGGGCTTCATGGCTCGCTAAGGATGATGTGAATGCTGATAAGTTTCTGCTGTTTGGCTTGGGACTCCAGAACGTTGCATCTATTTAAGAGTCAAGGTGAACTGGAAGCAGAACAGCCCTGAAAGGGACTACAGTTTACCCTCAAATCATTTTAATCCATGAAATTTATTCATTCATTCATTCACTCATTCATTCGTTCATTCAAGACAGAGAGAGAGAGGCAGAGACACAAGCAGAGGGAGAAGCAGGCTCCACGCAGGAAGCCTGATGTGGGACTCAATCCCTGATCTCCAGGATCACGCCCTGGGCTGAAGGCGCTGCTAAACCGCTGAGCCACCCAGGCTGCCCTAATCCATGAAATTTAAATAAAGTAGCCCAGATGCCTGGCAAAAGTAAACCTCTCTATACTAAGATAACATCATGTAGAACTTTAAATTACTACAAATAGTCTTTCAAATATAATATGTGACTCACAACCAAAAATAACAAGGCTTATGAGGAAATATAACATAAATGAGAACCAACAGAAACAGAAAAAAAAAAAAAAAAAACAGATGCCAGGTTCTCCAGACATTGGCTTTATCAGACTGAACTTTAACTATGCTGAGGCACCTGGGTGGCTCATCTTGTGAAAGATGAATTTTTTTTCTTTTTTTTTAAATTTATAAATTAATTTTTATTGCTGTTCAATTTACCAACATACAGAATAACACCCAGTGCTCATCCCGTCAAGTGTCCCCCTCAGTGCCCGTCACCCATTCACCCCCACCCCCTGCCCTCCTCCCCCTCCACCACCCCTAGTTCATTTCCCAGAGTTAGAAGTCTTTATGTTCTGTCTCCCTTTCTGATATTTCCCACACATTTCTTCTCCCTTCCCTTATATTCCCTTTCACTATTATTCATATTGCCCAAATGAATGAGAACGTACACTGTTTGTCCTCCGATTGACTTACTTCACTCAGCATAATACCCTCCAGTTCCATCCACATTGAAGCAAATGGTGGGTATTTGTTGTTTCTAATGGCTGAATAATATTCCATTGTATACATAAACCACATCTTCTTTATCCATTCATCTTTCGATGGGCACCGAGGCTCCTTCCACAGTTTGGCTATTGTGGACATGGCTGCTAGAAACCTCGGGGTGCAGGTGTCCCGGCGTTTCACTGCATCTGAATCTTTGGGGTAAATCCCTAACAGTGCAATTGCTGGGTCGTGTGAAAGATGAATTAACAGATTCAGTAAAGCTAAATAAAGAATAAATGAACTAGACATTAGTTTGGAAAAGAAATCTAGAATGAAATCAATAGAAAAATAAAATATGAAAAAAGGCCCAAGAGGCAGAAGATACAGTAATAGGCTTATCATCTTTGTGTTTGGAGTCCCAGAAGAGACAGAATGGGGTAGAATCACTATTTGAAGAGATAATGGTTAAGAATTTTCTAAAATTGACAAGACATTAAGCCACAGATTGAAGAAGCTCTGTAAACCAAAGTAGAATAAATACAAAAAAGAAGTAACACCTAAGCACAACATAGTAAAAATGCTTCAGATGACAAAGAAAAAAACCTTTTTTTTTTTTTTTAAGATTTTATTTATTTAGGGATCCCTGGGTGGCGCAGCGGTTTAGCGCCTGCCTTTGGCCCAGGGTGCGATCCTGGAGACCTGGGATCGAGTCCCACGTTGGGCTCCCGGTGCATGGAGCCTGCTTCTCCCTCTGCCTGTGTCTCTGCCTCTCTCTCTCTCTCTCTCTCTCTCTCTCTGACTATCATGGATAAAAAAAAAAAAAAAATTAAAAAAAAAAAGATTTTATTTATTCTTGAGAGACACCAAGAGAGGCAGAAACATAGATAGGGAGAGAAGCAGGCTCTTTGCAGGGAACCCGATGTAGGACTCGATCCCCAGACCCAGATTCACACCCTGAGCCAAAGGCAACTCAACTGTGAGCCAGCCAGGCATCCCACAAAGAAAAAAATCTTAAAGCAACCAGGAAAAAAAAAAGAGATTACTTTCAAAAGAGACCAATTTAACTGACAGTAGGAGCAAGAAAAATGGAATAAAATATTCAAAGCACTGAAGGATGATAATTGGTAATCTGGAGACCTAGCAGAAATGCCTTTTAAGAGTGAAGAGAAAATAAGCATTTTTCAGATATCCCTTCCTTAAAATATTTACTTAGAGAATTACCAAGAGACCCACACTAAAATCTTTTAAAAATTAAATTAAATTAAAAAAAAAAAAAAAAAAGATGTTACGGCA